CATGTATTACGTCCAGAAATTTTTTTATGGAGATAATAATTTTCTTTAGAAAACAATTAACAAGAGATAAAAGCATTTCAGTTAAAAAAATCTTATTTCATATTTTAGTGGAAATTCTTCCACATAGAAATATAACATAATACATCAAAGTGTACACATATTTATATAGATTAAATTTTATTATATAATAGTGAGGTTTTTTTATTCAACTCATTGGATAATACATAATTTTAAGCAAATTCTTACCAAGCATGTAATGGTGAATAAAAAGTCTGACATTGAGGCCAGCAGGTGACTTGGACTTCCACATGGCTGACTGCAGTTTGAGTCCCAGACCTGGTGGCTTGAAAATCATGCCAGGTATGTGTACATGTGTGCCCAAGATCATCGGAGGGGAATGGAGGGAAAGGGATTGTGGTGTGGCCATTTCCACTGGGGGTGATTTCTTGCTTTCCCTTTTTCTGTCTCTCTCTATTTCTGGCAAGCACACATGCCCTATGGCAAAAACCTAAAAAAAAAAAAAAATTGGGGGGCAAAACAGGTGGTGTGTGGTGTGGTGGTTAAGTGCACTGGACTCCCACATGGCTGACTGTGATTCAACTCCTAGACTTGGTGGCTTGCTTTCTCACTTTCCCCCTCTCTCTCTCACTCTGTCCCTCTGTGATCAAAATTAAAATAAAGAAAGAAAGAAAGAAAGTTAATAAAAATAACTATTTAAAAAAATTCTGACCTTATCCTAAACATGCACTGAGCAATAAAGATTTATCTGCTTTACCTGCTTTTATGCATCTCTCTTCTAAAGTTTCAACAATGAACATGATTTTTTCTTGCTGTTCCTATTTTCGTATTATTTGAAATGCCATATCATGAGTAATTATGTGTCCTCCAGGGAAAGGGAGAAGGAGAGAAGGTGGAGAGGAAGTAAGGACAGATTCAATACTTATTAAAATAATCTGACTTCTCCTTCAGCACCCAGAGAGAAGACCTGCCTTCACAATAGTAACTGCGGTTTTTCCAAGCTGCTTTTTGTCTCATTGCTGATACTTCTTCAGTTATTGGCAGTCTCATTCCTTATTGGTATTATCAGTAAGTATGCAGGTTAGGTCACGAGCTATGTTTGCCTTACACAAAAAGGAGATATCCACTAGAAATAGACCTTTAATGATGGGTTTATCCAGAAATCGGAAAAAGAAAGTTTCTCTGGGGAGGCATAATTCTTGAGAATTAAATGATATTTTGCTCCTTAACAAACTTAATTACTCTCTTGTAAAAATAAGAGATTCTATTGTCTTTTGAGAAATTGAATAATATTTGTCTATATGGGGGCTGGCAGGTAGCATGGCAGTTAATGGTTCTGGACTCCCACATGGCTGACCACGGCTTGAGTCTTGGACCTGGTGGCTTGCTTTTTCACTTTCTCTCTCTCTCTCTGACCCTCTCTGGTCAAATTTAAATAAATGAAGAAAGAAAGATAAATAAAAAATAATTCTGTAAAAAATATGTCTGCATGTGTTTGTGTTGTAGAGCGAAGTCTTTGGGGCATCATCTCTACGCTAGACACTGTGTGAAGACACATTTATATTTCCTTCATAGCTTTATAAGTCTGATCCTATTTGAGTACACAAACATATTGTGGGAAGAGCAGGTGGGCGAGAAGAGATAAACAGGAATATTCTAAGGAGTGTTTTCCATTGAATAGCACTCTATTCTGTCCTGTCCAGATTTGTGAAATCTAAAGCCAATTTAGCAAGTAGGTGAATTCCAGCATCTGTGGCCTTCATAAGTTGAGTATTTAGAAGACACAAAACCTAGTATATATTTGAGTAGACATTTCGTTCATTCATTTGATCACCCCATAAGCACTAATAGTCATCTACTGTATGTCAGTCACTGTGTCGGACAGGGAGTCCAGACAGAGCCATAGTTCCTGGTCTCAAGAAATTTAGGAGTAGTCCAATGAAGTGGTGGTCACAACACATATGTAAGTGTTGGGAACGACATGTGTGTAAGTGTTGGGCAGATGAAAGTAAGCTCAGGAGAGAGTTGGTAGGTGGTCTGGTGGTTAAGGTGCTGGACTCCCACATGGCCAGCTGTGGTTTGAGTCTCGGACCTGGCAGCTTGCTTTCTCACTTTTCCTCTCTCTTTCTCTCTCTCTCTGGTGAGCATGTGTGCCTGTAGCACTTCATAAAAAAAATGAATGATAAATAAAATAAATAGTTCTTTGAAAACAACAAAGAAAAGTAAGTGTAGGAGGTTGATATGGGCTTCCTGTAATAGTTAGGATCCATAGTTTCCATAGTTGTGTCAACCAAGAATGAGACAGAGATATATGAGAACACAGAAAATTTTGGGAAAATATCAGAACACATGACCGGCACATAAAGTGTTAAGCAGGAGTGAAGTTGCAGGAGGGACAAATAAGAGCCTAAAAACTAGTGTGCCCTATGGAATTTTGACTTTTTTCCCCTTAAGGTTATTTTATCACTTATTTTTTGCTATACTTAAAAGCCAATCTAAAATTTAGTGTATTTTTTTTTCTTTTTCTTTCTTTATTTTTAGAGGTTTTTGCTATAGGACACATGCACTCACCAGAAAGACAGAGAGAGACAGAGAGACATAAAGTGAGAAATCACCCCCCAGAGGAAATGACCAAACTCCAATTCCTTCTCCTCCATTCTTCTCTCGGGATCTTGGACACAAACGCACATGCACCTGGCGTGAGTTTAAGCCACCAGGTCCAGGACTATAATCACGGTAGACTACATGGAAGTCCAGCGACATAGCCACTATACCAACTGCTGGTCCTTAAAACTTAGTGTTTTAAAACAATGGATGTCTGTTTAGCTCATGATTTTGTGGCTGGGAAATGTAGACTTCTCTCAGGTGGGAGGCTCTTCTGGTCCTGCCTGAACACACTCATGTGCAGAATTGGGAGCTGGTCACAGCTCAGCTACTGAGGAAGAGGAAGTTAGCTGTGTGACAGGAACTGTTTGGTCAAAGTTCTCTCTGCAGTCATCAGGTTTAGCCAATGTTTGCTTATGTGACAACTCTGCAGACTTGCAAGACTGGAGCAGAAGTAAGGAAAGCCTTTTGAAGTATCAACTTGGAACTAGTGCAGAGTTGCTTCTGTACATTCAATTATCCAAAGAAGTAAAGGGATCCCATCTTCAAGTGGTGGAGAAACAGACCTCAACTGTTGATCAGAGAAGCTGCAAAGTCATATTACAAAGGGGCTGCACACAGGGAGGACTGAAACTTGTCACCCTTTCAGCAATGTGTCACAATCATTGAGAACCATTGAAGAATTTTAAGCAGGGAATTGATTTAGTAAAATTTGACTTATAAAAATAGACTCTACTGAAGTGTAGAAAATGGGTATATCAGGGTCAGCAGGTGGCATGATGATTAAGGGCACTGGACTCCCACATAGCTGATCTTGGTCTGAGTCCTGGACCTGGCAGCTTGCTTTCTCACTACTCCCCAACCCCAGTCAAATTAAAAGAGATCAATAAATAAAGTTAAATAAAAATAATTATTTGAAAAAAAAGAAAATGGATATATCAGAACAAATACAGATGCAAAAAGAGATGTTAGAGGCTAACTCATTAATACAATTGAGAAATAGAGCCTGATGTAAGACCAGTGTTAGTGAAGAAAAAGGAGAGGAAGTAGCTTTGAATGACAGAGGAGGTAAAACCAAGAAGGCAGAAACCTGATGATCTTAGGTGTGTGGAAGAAGGGACCCAGAGAAATATGGGGTGACTCCAATATTCTGACTGGTAATTTCAGCAACCATGATCCTGTTCAAAGCGGTAGACTCCATAGGATGAATAGCAGGCTTGGGTTGGAAGATGTTGATTTAAGTTTTTGGTTCATTGAATTTTATGTCTGTGGGAATCTTAAACAGACAGGCCTAGTGGGAGACATATTTGTAAGGCTTGTAGAAAGGAGATCTGAGATTTAGAAGTCATTCATTTGTTGATAGCCAGTGATACTCCAGAAATATAGGCTATGACTTAGATGGAACATTCAGTATAAGAAGCAGGGATAATGGTGGAGGTGTGGGGGGGAAGTGTGGCACATTAGAAGAAATGGATGAAAGAAGAGGAGCCTATGAAAGAGTAAAAGAGGCAGCAGCAAGAAAGGTGAGGACCAAACAGGAAGGAATCGTGTCCTAAGAGGTAAGATAGAAGAGTACTACATCCAGTGTTCTAATGGGTCAAATAGGAAAGTAACTACTAAGCAGCTTTAGGATACCACTGGTTAACCATTTCCCTCTCTCTGTCTCTCTCTCTTTTTAATTTTTTAAAAATATTTGCCAGAGGATGTGTGTGCTCACCAGAGAGACAGAGAGAGAGAAGGAAAATAAGAAAGCTTCCTCTATGAGAACGGTCACACCATAATAACTGCTTCTCCATTTCTCTGTACTTTTGTGATTTGAGGCATGCAGGCACATGTACCAGCCTGTTTATGAAGCCATCAGGTCTTGGGCTTGACCCCACAACTGGCTATGTAGGATCCAGTCACCCTAACCACCATACCATGGACTGGCTTGAGGATCCAATTCAAGGAGGGTTTTAGTGAAATAAAAGAAGCAAACCCAGAATGTGGTGTGTCAAAGAGAAAATAAAGATTAGATTGAAAAGAAAATTTGATTTCTATTGGGAGAAGTGGATCCGTTTTAAATTAGGAGAGACATGGAGAGTCACACAGAATAAGAGCTGGTTGGGGTGGAGACAAGAAAGGAAAGAAACAGAATAGAATAATGTCTTCTTGGTCAAAGTTGGGATTTTTGTGTAATCTGCACTCCACAAAGAAACCCAGAACTCCACAGCTGATCCTCACATCCCACAGTGCCACACACGGTGTACATCCTTAAATACAAGTGTTTAGCCTCCACTCCTTGCCCCCTCCCAAGGTCTAGCCATTCAATGCACATCACATCGAGTATGGAAGGAGAATGTGGATTACTCCCTTTAGATTCTTTTGATTAGCTGTCGTGTCCTCTTCTGAATGGTAATCTCTGAACAATTCAAAGAGATAGCTATGCTTTCAAAATTTGGATTTGGATTACACCAGTTTAGGAAGTATGGCAAATATATACCAATAAGAATCCACCTACACAAGTAATTGGACGTCTGTGGATGCTTTTTTCTTTAAGGAATGTAAGAAAGTATCAAGAATAAAGTCATAATGCTACCTGAAAATGAATGTTTTTTCTCGTTTCTAGTTTTCTTTAAAAAATCTCAGTGTCTTGAAGAAAAAGAGACTACAAGAGATCTGATTCACACAAAATTGGAGTGTATGGAAAAGAAGTTGACAAAAGAAGGTAAACATTAATGTGGTAAGATTTATTTGCTGATTGTACTATGTAAGGATCCCAAATCAATTTTTTCATTAAGATTCCCAAGCAGATTATATTAAGAACTTGAGCCTCTGGGACCAGCAGGTGATGTGGTGCTTTCGGCACTGGAATCCCACATCGCTCACTGCAGTTCAAGTCCCAGGCCTGGTGACTTGAAGATCACACTGGGCTTGTGTGAGTGTGTGCTCAAAATCCCAGGGGGAAAATTGAGAGAAGAGATCGCAATGTGACCATCCCTCCTGGAAATGATTTCTCACTTTCTCTTTCTCTTTTTCTCTCTCTCTTTCTCTCTCTCTCTTTTTCCAGAGAATGCATGAGCTGTATGACAAAAACTTTAAACAAATGAAAAAATAAATTTAAGTCTCGTGATTATTATAAGCTACAAGTGCATAAATACACAAGACCTAAAATCCTCTATTTAGAAATGTGTACTCACCAGAAAGAACTAGGACAGGGAGTTGGGAACGATGAGAAAGTACCTCTTATCCCTGGGAGAATGACTATTCTGCAATCCATTCTTCTGTATTTCTCCTTTTGGGACTTTGGAAATACCTGTGCAAATGTCCTTGGTGTTTTTCAAGTGCCCAGGTGGAACTGCACAATCACCCATATAGGATCCAGCCACTTAACCACCACAATACTGACTGGCTACCTAAAATTCTTTTGAAACTTTAAGTGCCCCTTGCTCTTTCTTTCATATATAAATTAAAATCATTAGATAACAATGGTGATGCTGCCACTGATTTTATTGTGGATGCAAATTATTTAAGCTCCTAAAAACTATTAAATTATTTTTAACAGTTATGTAATTATGGAATAATTGAACATAGTGCAAAGAAATCTCATTTGACCTCTACCCTGTACACAGAGTCCCCAATGAACAGCTTATATAATAAATTTGTCATAATTTACAAACAAATCTTGATATATTTATCACTAATTAAACTCCATAATTTATTCTACTTTTTTTTTTTTTAAGTTTTTGCCAGAGGGCATGTGTGCTTATAGGAGAGATAGAAAGAAAGAAGGAAAGTGAGAAATCATTCCCTATGGATAATGGCCACACTGCAATCCCTTCTCCTTCAGTCTCTTCTCAAGATTTTAGGCTTGCGGGACCAGCAGTTAGTGTAATGGCTATGTTGCTGGACTCCCATGTAGTCGACCGGGGTTCACGTCCCGGACCCGGTGGCTTAAAACTCACGCCGGGCGCGTGTGCATGCGTGCCCAAAATCCCGAGAGGAGATTGGAGGAGAAGGGATTGCGGTGTGGCCATCCCCCTGAGGGGGGTGATTCCTCACTTTCTGTCTCTCTGTCTGTCTCTGTCTGTCTGGCATGCACATGCGCCCTATGGCAAAAACTTCTCCTCCAAAACAAAGAAAAAAAAAAGATTTTAGGCTTGCATACACACATGCTGGGCATGATATTCAAGCCACCACGTCTGAGACTCAAACTGCAGTGGGCCATATGGGAGTCCAGCGCCTTAACCACCTCATTCCTTAGTTTTTTTTTTTTTTTCCTTTAAATAACCATTTTATTTTTAATTTTTCTTACTATTATCATTTTTTTATTCACCAGAGAGAGAGAGAAAGTGAGAAGGCAAGCCATCAGATCTGTGACCCAAACAAGGTTGGCCATGTGGGAGTCCAGCAACGCAATCACCCTGCCACCTACTGGCTTCCCATTCCTTAGTTTTTACGCAATATCATTTTTAATTTTAGAACCCCATGCAGGTGCTCTTGTCTCTTTCTTGTCTGTCATAGTTTCTCAGTCTTTGCTTGTTTTTGATGATTTTGATGGCTTTGAGAGGCCAGTTATATTATAGGATGTCCCTTTGTCAGAATTTGTCTGATGTATTTCTTAGACCAGGATTGTTTGTTTTAGGAGGAGAATCACAGATGAAAAATGGTATTTTCATCACATCATAACAAGGGTACATATTACAAAAGTATTTTTGGCTCTCAATATTCACTTGGATCACATGATAGTGTTTGTCTTGTGTCTCCACTTTGAAATGACCTTTTCTCTCTCTGTTCTCATACTCTGTTCTTTGAAAGGAAGATGCTATGTGTAGCCCACCCTACAAGATTACGCATTATGCTCCCTATCCATTAAGGTGGAGTGTTGTATTAGGATTCTCTCCAGAAAAAGACTCAGCAGCTTTTGTATGCAGAAAGATGCTAACTTTAAAGGAATTGACTCGTTCACTTATGGAGGCTTGAGAATTACAAAATTTTGAGTGTCTGGCAAACCAGTGATTTGGAAAAGTTGTAGTTTGAGTCCAGAGATGATCTGTTGCAAAACGAGGAAAGGCTCATGTCTGCAGATGAAGTCCAAAGGGTTCTGTTGGAGAACTCCCTTTTGTTTGGAAGGTCATCTATTTTTTCCGTTTAGATTTTCAACTGAATGGATGAGGCCCAGTTCATTACGAAAGGCTATCTGCTTTATTCGAATGTCACCAATTTCCATGTACTATCATCCAAAAACAGCTTCAAAGAAACATCCAAAATGTTTGACCAGGTATCTGGGCACTGTGACCTAGAGAGGTGACACATAATTAACCATTGCAAGTATACATAGCACTTATTTGACATTCTTGGTCTAAGTAATCTCTTACTTATTAATTTATTCTGTCATTGATATCTGCACATACCTATGGATATTTACTTTTACTTCAGATCATAATCAGTTGCTACTCCATTTTATTTTCCAGCCTTGGTTGTTGGGAATGGTTGTTCTCCCTGGCCCTTGATGAACACCATCAATGCATCTTTTTAGTTTTGTTTTCATACCTCCTTACATTCTAGGACTACAGAATATTCCAGGCTCCCATTGTACATTTCTTGTCCCTATCCTAGAATCAGTCATTTCCATGAGAAGTCTTAGTTCTCTGCATGGCAGAATAGCACCCCACAAATTTCGATATCTTATATTTTCATCTTCATTCTGTTCAATGTATTTTTTATTTCTCTTGCGACTTCTTTGACCTATAGATTATTTAGCAGTGTGTTGTTTAGTTTCATGCATTTGAAGAATTTCCATTCTTTTATCATTACTATTTTAAAAAGAATTACATTCAATCACTGTACATTTTTTACAGAGTAAAATGTGGCTTGTCCCAGCATGAACACGGTGCATATTAGTCAAGTCTAAGATATTACCAATAAATTCTTATCAACAGATAACTTCTCTCTTTTGGTGTCTTTTAAATGTTTTGCTTGTTAGTTCCCTGACCCCCTCCTTCCAACCCTCTATTAAGTGTACCCTCATACTGTCTCTAGTATCTATAGTTGCCCTCCTGGCTATTGCATCTTCCAATCTTTCCGTTTTTGCTGTATAGTATAGATATTCAGTATGTAATAGGGGGAACATACAAATGCCTATTTTTCATAGTGTGGCTTGCAGCCCTTAGATGAAATTTTCCTTATTTGTCCACTTTCCATCAGAGTTCCTTTTTTTTTTAATGACTGAGTAGTAGTCCATAGTTTACACGTGCCACATTTTTTCAATTTCTTTCTTTCTTTTTTTTTTTTTTTTTAATGATTGTTAGTTTGCTACCACAGTGTTTAGAGAATCCTCTTTATATAATGTCAGTGATTTGAAGATTTTTTTGAGGTTTCTTTTCTGCCCCAGGATATGGTCTACCTTTGTATATGTTACATAGGCTTTTTTTTTTTTTGGAGAGATTTTCACTGTAGGGTGCGTGCGCTCGCCAGACAGACAGAGAGAGACATAGAGACAGAAAGCGAGAAATCACCCCCCAGGGGGGATGGTCACACTGCAATCCCTTCTCCTCCATTCTCCTCTCAGGATCTTGGGCACGCACGCACACGCGCCCGGCGTGAGTTTTAAGCCACCGGGCCCGGGACACGAACCACGGTCGACTACGTGGGAGTCCAGCGACATAGCCATTACGCTAACTGCTGGTTCCCTACATAGGTATTTTTAAAAAGTGGGTATTCTGTTGAGCGGTGGAATGTTCTATAAATATTTACTAGATCCTGTTGATTGGTGATGTTCTGAGTTTTACATTCTTGAAGATTTTCTGTGGAGCTGTCTTTTCTACTCTTGAGAGTGAAGTGTTAGTGCATTCATTCTATTTACTTATTTATTTTTATTTCTATATCTTTTATACATTCAGTCACATTCCTTAGCTTACAAAGTGAATATTCCAACACGTATGCATTTTTCACCAGTCCAGTTCACCATACTAGAAAGTTATCTTCAATAGATAATAATCCATTTCTTTGTTCCATAAATGCCTTGCCTCTCTCTTTTTCTCCTTAATGTCCTTCCTCAGACTCTACTCCTTCACTTGTCTTCTTCCCACACTGTATCTGGTATTAACAACCATTTACTTAGTTTCTATAATCTTCAGACATACAGTTTTGGCCAAAGTTTTTCTTTCTATAATATTCTGTATCTATAATATTTTGTCAACTTCTTTTGGTTGAGTCTTATTTTTTAAGAATTATTTTATTTTATTTATTTATTATTATTTTTTAATTTGACCAGAGGGAAGGAAAGTGAAAAAGCAAGTAACCAGGTCTAGGACTAGAGCCATGGTTGGCCATGTGTGAGTCCAGCACCTCAACCACCATTCCACCTGCCAGCCCCAGTTGAATCTCTTGTACTTCTACTTTTTGCAGTTTTGTTGTTTGTGTATATACACTTAGTACACATATATGAGATTTTATATTTTTTTAGTTTGTGTGCTGTTGGTGATTTCCATTTTTCTGTCTTCCAATTTATGATTTCTCTGTTCCATTCATTCTGCTTTTGAGCTCCTTCACTGAGTTTATTTTGGTTACTGTATTTTCCATTTACAGAATTTCCACTTGGTTATTTTACATATCTTCTATTTGTTTGCTGGCCTTCTACTTTTTAAATTTGTTTTAGTCATGTTTGTACCTTCTTTTTGAAGCATTCTTTCCTGGCTGCTTGAAAATGATTGTCAGTGAATTCTGTCAATAACATTTTTGTTTGTTGGCCTCAGTTAGTATTTCTTATCTAATTTGAAAACTTCCTAGACTTTGCTATAGTGAATGATATTTTTTATTGAATCAACTTTTTAGTATTATGTTATCACAGTCTGGACCATATTTAAACATTATAGTTTTGATGGCTTTTCCCAATGCCACTCTAGCAGGAGGCAGGGGATCTCATCTCATTACTGCCTATGGAGGTAGATGTGGCCATCTGGACACCTGAGGAGTGGGGTGTACTTGTGATCTTTGGGTGGGGGTAGGTAATCCAACTCCCATGTGGTCTGCATTGGTTCTTAGATTTAATAAGCAATTTTCTTATATTATACTTAGATACCCCTCCAGATAGAGTCTGGAGCTGCTGCCCAAAGAATTGGAAGTCATTTGGCTCCAACTGCTACTTTGTTTCTACTGAATCAAAATCTTGGGGTGAGAGTGAGAAGAACTGCTCTGGAATGGGGGCTCATCTGCTGGGGATCAACTCCAAGGCTGAGCAGGTACTTTCTGACAGATGATAGAGTCATGAGCCCTGCCTGATTGCTGTTGTCTCTGTTTGACAAGTAAGGAGGCTTTCCTTGTTTTGGGATATTGGTGCTAAGGCAGATGGCTTTCACCATATGTAGGGAAGGTTCCCCAAGTCTTTACATTCTATATCTCTTCCTGTTTTAGTAAAACTAACCTCCCCCAATGAGATGGTGGCATTAAACATATAATGAAGCATTGATAGAAGGATTAAAATATTCCAGTCTGAAATATGAGTTTTAAATTTCAGCATGTAAATGTTTTATACATTATTAACTACTTCACAGAGAAGATTATTAGGCAGATTAGGAAAAGGTAGGTAAATCATGAAAAGTCACTATAAGTAATTAGAGATGAAATTAAAGAATCTCTGAAGTTATGAAGTCAAAATGATTAAATCTACAAACTTTTTGTCATGTACAACCTTAAAAAATGCCATCTTAGTGAAGGAAGAAGGCCAGTCTGAGATGAGAATCCATCATGGCCGTACACAGGAATTGCTTCTATTCATACTAAACATAGGGATGTTTTTTATCCTGCTCAGCCAGGCAACTGCTGCATGAGAGATTTTTTGCAGTAGGGTGCTGTGCACTTGCCAGAGAGACAAGAAGCAAGAAATCACCTGTGAGGTAGATGGCCATGCCACAATCCTGTCCCCATTCTCCTCCCAGCATTTTGGGCACATGTGTTCATGCAACCAGTGTGAGTTTCAAGCCTCCGGGTCCGTGACTCGTACTGTGGCCGGCCATGTGAGAGTTCAGTGACATAACTTTTACACCATCTGCTGGCCTCAAGAATTCTTTTTTTTTTGGAGAGGTTTTCACTATAGGGTGCGTGCACTCGCCAGACAGACAGAGAGAGACATAGAGACATAAAGTGAGAAACCACCCCTCCCCCCAGGGAGGATGGCCATGCCACAATCCCTTCTCCTCCATTGTCCTCTCAGGATCTTGGACACGCACACACACGCGCCCAGCGTGA